CAACCATTGACTCTTTACTTCACTCTCACCGACGATGAAGGAAATGAGTTTCTAGCGATATTTTTGACATAGATCTACTCAGATTTGGCCAAGATTACAAGACAAGACTTACCAAAATGTTCAGATTTAGAGCAGATTTGAGTAAATCTACATCAGATTTAGCTAGATCTAAACTAAAAATGTTTGCTGGAGTATGATCCTCTCGCTATGTGTGTTTATCTCATTCAATATCTCTGTTTTTCTTTTTTTTCTCTGTTACACACATCATTCGATAAAAACTGCAAAATTTTGCAATTTTGAAAATACATTCATGCTTTTCTCTATAACTTTAGCCTTTTTTTTTCTCTATTAAAATAATAAAAAAAAACAGATATTGACAAACTGAAAAAGCTACAAACCCCTAGAAATTACTGATCTGATATCTCTACTATCATCGCAATGGAAAATTGTGTTTTGATAAAATGCAAATGAGCAAACTGATATTTTTTGTAGTTTTAAAATTGCAAATTTATGTAGTTTGATTGGCAATAAATTCAAACTCTAAATTTTTACAATTTTGTGAACTGAAAATTATGTACTTTGTATGATGAAGAGTTTATTTTATTTTATTTTATTTTTTCTTTCGTGTTTTGTGGTGTTGGAAATGATATGGTTAAATTTTGCTATGCTTTCGCTCTAATTTCTCCATTTTTTTTTCTCAACGATGTTTTGGACATTCTAGCGAGTCTCTTGCTATATTCTTGACCTCCAACATCATTCTAGATATTCCGGCGACTTCCAATAACGTTCAGAACAATCCAGCAAATTTTCAACAATACTTCGGCTATTTCTGTTGATGTTGAACATTCCGATGAGTTTCAATGATTGTCAAACGGAAGTCCAACGATGGTCCAATGATGTGACAGTGTCTTTAAATGTAAAAAAAAAAAAAAAATAGATTTTTTGGTAACAATTAAAAATGTGTAGGACTAATTAGTGTAAGTGTCTTGTTTTGAGACCAGCTGGATTTTGAACTTTGTATATAGAATCTACGATCATATATAGGCTGGATTTGGAAATAGTGCTTTAAACACGTCTCATCTGGCCCACAAACTACATTATATAATATATTTTTATTATAAATATACATATTTCTATGTATGTTTTATACTAGTAAACACTATAGTATACACCCCTCAAAGGATGTGTACCATATAGAATCGAGATCCGCTCCTTCATCTCTCTTCTTAATTCCCTACTTACTAGGCTATTGGGCCTACTTTTGGGTCCAATTTCAATGATCCGAACCATTCACATTTTAAGATTTGTTGAGTATATCATACTTGTAAAAAATTAAGTTGATCGGATATCAAAAATTACGTGTTCGGAAAACTGTTTATTAATTTTTTTAAAAAAATGGTTTGTAGTTCGATGATCTGAACACGTTGTTTCTGATATCCGATCAACTTAAATTTTTACAAGTATGATATACTCAACAAATCTTAAAATGTGAACGGTTCGGATCATCAAAATTGGACCCAAAAGTGGGCCCAATGGCTTAGCAAGTAGGGAGTTAAGGAGAGAAATGAAGGAGAGGATCTCGATTCTACTATATACACCTTATAATTAAAGAAGAAAATGACATAATTTCATATTTTTTGAGTCAACTAAAAAAAAAATATTATAACTAAACACAATATGAGACATAATTAAAAAATTCATAAGTCATAACTAAGGAAAAAAAAATGGTCATAACTAAAAAAAGAAAATGATATAACTAAGGGTGCATAGGATACACTCTTTTAAAAGGTGTGTATGTTAGAATTTTCCTATATACTTATTAAGTTCATTTTCTTAAAGTACAAATATGTACTACTAGTTATATAAAAAATTAGTTATAAAATTTGAACTACTAATCTTAAAGAGACACACAAATAACTAAATTAATTTAGGGTAAATTACACTAACACCTCCTGAGGTTTATATTTATTACAGTTTTTCCGTCATTTTTTGGAAATTACATCTCCCCCTCTGAGGTTTGAAGTTTCATTACAGATTCCTCCTTTCAGCAATTTAATTTTTTTAAATACCAATTTTACCCTTATTGGGTAAATTACATTGACACCCCTCACATTTTAGAAATTACAACCCGGGTAAATTACACTGACACCCCTAAGGTTTATGTTTATTACAGTTCCCTCCCTCACCTTTTGGAAATTACATCTCCCCCCTAAGGTTTGACATTTCATTATAGATTCCTCCCCTCAGCAATTTAATTTTTTTAAATACCAATTTTGCCCTCATTGGGTAAATTATATTGACACCGCTCACATTTTAGAGATTACAATCCCCTCCCCAAGGTTTAAAGTAGCATTATCAATTGCACCCTCGGTTAGTATTAGTTGGAAAAAAAAATTCATTGAAAAAAAAAATTAATTGGAAAAAAATTAATTGAAAATTTTTTTTATTAGTAAAATTTTTAAATTTTTGTTTAAAAATCAACGTAAACTCAGTTTTTAAATTTACGTTTTTTCATCAAATTTACAAACTGAAACAAACCATTTATAAACCAAAACAAATTATCAAATAAGTTTTTATGACAGTTTTTTAATTTTTTGTAAATATAAATTGCAAACTGAAAACGAAATGATTACTAAACAGATCTCAGATGGTAAAAATGTCGTAAAATTAACAAATAACTAAATAAGTAACCAACGTAGGAAATGACTTATCAAAAGTTTCTTAGGCTATGTATGGTTTGATTTTTAGAATTTTTTTTTTAAAAATTAAAAATTAATTTGGTTAAGAAATAAAAAATAAAAAATAATTATCGTTTAAGGGTAAAAAATAATTATCATTTTAACTTTTGGGCAGGTTATATACATACGTATGGCTGTTTCAATTTAATTTGTAAAAAATTATTTCTAACTACTCAAAAGATAAAAATTATATAAAAATGATAATTATTTTTTTATTTTTTATTTCTTTATCAAATTAATTTTGAATTTTAAAAAAAAAATTCTAAAAATCAAACCATACATAGCCTAAGAATCTTTTGATAAGTCATTTCTTACGTTTGTAACTTATTTAATTATTTGTTAATTTTAAGACATTTTTACCATCTGAAACCTGTTTGGTAACCATTTCGTTTTTAGTTTTCAATTTATATTTACAAAAATTTTAAAAACTGTCATAAAAACTTGTTTGATAATTTTTTTTGGTTTATAAATGGTTGTCTCAATTTGCAAATTTGAGAAAAAAACGTAAATTCAAAAAATGAGCTTGTGTTGGTTTTTAAACAGAAATTTAAAAATTTTACTAACAAAATTTTTTTTCAATTAATTTTTTTTCAATGAATTTTTTTTCCAACTAATACTAACCGAGGGGGCAATTGGTAATGTTACTTTAAACCTTAGGGAGGAGATTGTAATTTCTAAAATGTGAGGGGTGTCAATGTAATTTTCTTAATGAAGGCGAAATTGGTATTTAAAAAAATTAAATTGCTGAAGGGAGAATCTGTAATAAAATTTTAAATCTCAGGGTGGGAGATGTAATTTCCAAAAGATGAACGGAAAAACTATAATAAATATAAACTTCAGGAGTGTCAGTGTAATTTACCCATTAATTTATATGCATATTGAATTGATATTTTTTATTTTGTTTTCGTATGTGCTTGAGAATAAAGCATAAGCGGGTATCTTGGATTGGGTTTGGAAATGATTTCTAGTGTTAGAGCGGCCCGACTCATGCCCAGTTGTGAAAATGGAATAAATTACGAGATATGATTAGTCTGAAAATATGAACTTTATATTACAAAAATACAATGGCTCCACCTAAAATTAAAATGAAAATTTATCCATAAATTCCACATGGAAGAATGTTGACCTATTTAGTTTTAAGAGTTTTTTTATGAACTAATTAGTCTTTTTTGTTTTGAAAAATTATATTTATTTGATTTTTATGAACTAATTAGTCTTTTTTGTTTTGAAAAATTATATTTATTTGATTTTGTGTCATTTGAGTTTAAGTAAATGTTATTTTGTAATTTATTTTTTCAATTTTTTGATTCATTTTTGGGATGTGAATGAGAATGTGAGGTGTGAAAGATATTTTTTTGAAGGGATTAGTAGTTGAAATGTTGATTGTTGAGTATTGAAATCTACCTTTCTTTAAAGTGTTATATTATTACGTTTAAAAAAATACGTTTCAATTTTTTGATTCGTTACATTAAAGTGTTATATTATTACGTTTAAAAAAATACACTAATTTTTTTTTTAATATGTTACATTAAAATGTTACGTTTGAGAAAAATATACTAAAAGTTTTTGTGTATTATATTGATTAGAGTGTTACGTTTGAGAAAAGTACAGTAAAGAGTTTTTTTATAATGTTACGTTATTACACTTGAGAAAAATACACTAAGAAATTTTTTAATGTATTACATTAGAGTGTTATGTTTTTTGAGTATTACATTAGAGTGTTACTCTTAGGAAAAATATACGAAGGAGTTTTTTTGAAGTATTACGTTTAGTAATTTCAACATTATAAGAAAACTCATATTTATCTCTCAATACATAGCACACACGCATTTATACTTGACCCTTTATATAATTCACACTACGATTGAACTTTTGGGTCCATAAAAAAAATGAGAACCAAATAATTCATAAGAACACTATTTAAAATTTATTAGTATTTCACCCAAATTAAAAATGATAAATTATTTTGGAGTGAAAATTGTAGAGACATGAGTGACGGGGGAGAGAGTTGAAATGGTAAAATGGTGGAATAATTTTTGGTAATAGTTGTTAGAGAGACTGCTGCTGCAGCTGCTGCTGCTGCTGTTGTTGTTGTTGTTTATTCTGGAAGTGGAGGGGAGAGGAAGGCGGCAGTTTTGAAAACAGTTTGAACATTGACTAAGAAATGCATGCCTAACCTTTCTATATCTATATACAGAGAGAGGCCTGCAAACAAAAAAATGGTAAAATGGTGGAATAATTTTTGGTAATAGTTGTTAGAGAGACTGCTGCTGCAGCTGCTGCTGCTGCTGTTGTTGTTGTTGTTTATTCTGGAAGTGGAGGGGAGAGGAAGGCGGCAGTTTTGAAAACAGTTTGAACATTGACTAAGAAATGCCTGCCTAACCTATCTATATCTATATACAGAGAGAGGCCTGCAAACAAAAAAAACACACCAATAAGTTTTGCCAAACAAAACAACAACATAAACAATTTGTGTGTTTATTTTAGCCTTTCTCGTTTGTCATCTTCCATTTGTTTCTCTTTCCATTGTTCCCCATTTGTTACATTCCTCCATCTTCATCGCTTCTCTTTCCGTCTCTCTTGTTGTCTGTCTGTCTGTTTCTCTCTTTTTATTTTTTGTTTTTTCTTCTGTATTCATTCATTCTTTCATTCCTTAATAGCAACCCACAGCCCAATCAATGGGTTTTCTTCAACCACCATCATTCATTTTTTATCGTGTCCTCCTCCCAAGATTCCATATCTTTCGTCTAAGATCACTCTGTTCTTTCTTTGCCTTGAAATTCTTCTCTTCCCTGTTTACTCAAGGAAAGATACCATTCTAGATTATGCTTGTTTTCTTGACAAACAATCTCACAGGTATAAACTCTATATACCTTTATCAATTATATATATACAGAGCTTGTCTTTGATTAAGTATATTAGCTAATTTGATTATTAGCTATCTCACAAGTGAATTATAAGATTCTTTATTTCTTTGTATACATGCTTGTAGGTATGTATTTGTTTATTTGGATATGGATAGTTGATTTCAGACTAGCTGTTTGATTAAACGTTTTTTATTTCTGAGGTGGCGGATTAAATTTTCTGTGAATTTTATGTAAGATTGTAAAGGGGTTCAGTAACATAGCCAAAAAAAGAAATGAAAAAGAAAAGAAAAGACACAGAAGGTTTTATTGGCATATATATAAGCATGGTAAGATGTTACACACACATATGTAAGTATATCTGTGCATATGTTCATTAAGCTTCTAAATTTGATATTTTTTGGATTGTTTGGTGGTGGAATTTTTTTATTTTTTATTTATTGAAAGTTTTGTACACAAAAGTAGAAAAAGTGGTATTGATTTTGAGTTTGCTTCATATTTGTTTCATTTCAGTTATAGTTTTGACCAAAATTCAAAGAACAGAACTTTTGTAATTAACTATTCAGTTAGAATGTTTTGTTCCTGATTTTTTATTTTTTATTTTCCTTTTCAAGATGATCTAAATAACTAGCTGAAAAGTTGTAAATAACTACTAAGATAGACACAGTAGCTGAAAAGTTTGAACCAAAATTACTGATTCAATTTTCCCATCAAGGCTGTTTGATTACTTTTGAGCGTAGGATTCTTTGCAAATTTTGTGATTTCCATGATGTGTTAGGGGTGTACACGGTCCGGATTGGTTCGGTTATGAGAAAATCCAAGAACTGAACCGATCCTAACGGTTCTGTAATTTTGAGAACGAGACCTGACCGTTACACTTGAAAACTGGACCAGAACCAAACCAAAAAAACGGTTCGGTTCGGTTTGGTTTACGGTTCCAAAATTTTCTATTTACAAGAATAAATTGTTAATATTAGCAAAATAATTACTCAAACTAATTACATTTAACTCATGATAAAAACTAATAATACTAAGGCATTACTTAATATTACATATCTATACCATCCTAATATCATTAAAATTATAAAAAACCAATTAATAAAAATAAAACTTGATATTATATATATTATATATATATATATCTTTTAAAATTCAATTCGGTTCGGTTCGAACCACGGTTTTTTCATAAAATCCATTAACCGAACCGTTTTTACGATTCTCATATTTCTTAATCTGAAACCGAACCAATTCTTAATGGAACCGAACCAAACCGTATGATTCGGTCTGGTTCGGTCCGGATTATCGGTTTAAACGGATTTTTGAACAGCCCTATGATGTGTTGTGGAAATGAACTCCACTGGAAATATTAGCATAGAAAGGTAATAAATCTGGTTTTATTTTGCCAGAACAAGTTGCGGTGCTGAGAAAGATATTAGTCATACTGTAAATGGCAATGTCATTAGAGGAGCTTCTTGCTGAGGAAGGGTTCACAGGGAGGAGGTCGAAAATGTCGGCGAGAACTTCCTTCAGATCAGAAGCAGCAAGTATGCCACATTACTCAAATCGATACCAAGATAAATCAAGCTCTTCATCACGTGTCAAAAAGACTGAGAGGGCAAAGTCTGATTTACCTCGGTATGGTTTGAGAGATGAATTACCAACAAGTGATAGACTAAAGGGACGAAGACCAAGGGATAATCTTATAACAAGAGAGAAATCAGATAAAGGATTGAAAAAAGAAACTAGAGAGAAATTTGAAAGAGTTTCAAATGATTTTAACAGAATTAGTTTTGATTCATCAAAAGACTTTCAAGGTAGTGAGATTGTTGAGATTGGCGTGGAAGATGGTAAGGGTTATAAAGATACATATTCAAACGAAATGTATAGCCCTGGGAGAAGTAAAAGTAAATATTCTGGTGGCGTTGGGGAAAGGGAGAGGCCCAAAAGCAGGTCAGGGAAGGATATAGAGGTAGATAAGGGGTGCGGGAACAAATCTAAAAACCATGTGCTTGGGCGTATGAGTTATAGTGATAATTATAGGAAAAGCTTGAAAAAACCTGAGAACTCATACAGTCGATCTAATAGTTCACAAAACAGCAAAAGCATTGATGACAGCAGGCGTCGAAGGCAAGCTGAGATTGGGCAGAATGTTGTTGAACCTGCTCTTGATGAAGCTGCGGTCCGAGCCTTGATATCTATCTTGAGTGGGTATATCAAACACTTTCTCAAAGATAAGGATTTCCGTACAGCACTCCATCACAATTGTTTTGCTTCACTTAACATTGTTGAATTAGAAGAAGGCCTTATGACTGAGAGCAAAGTCCTATCCAATCTTGAACAAGCCATAGAAACAGTAGAAAGAGCTGCTGAGGAGCGTGCAAGTGCAAAAGAGTTGAAAAAAGCTTCACTGCAGCTTGGTGTGATAACAGGTTTCAACTCAGATGATTTGAAAGATGGTTTCACATCTGGGATTCCCAATTCTAAGTTGTCAGCTTGTGCTCATCTCTACCTCAGTGTGATATATAAATTACAGAAGAAAGACAGGATAGCAGCAAAGCATCTTCTGCAAGTTTTTTGTGATTCACCGTTTCAGGCTAGAATGATGTTGTTGCCTGAGTTGTGGGACTATTTGTTTCTTCCGCATCTTTCCCATTTGAAGGCGTGGTACATTCAGGAAGCTGATTCTCTAGCAGATACACCAAGCAAGTCAAGGAAACTGAAGCTTCTTGAAAAAGTGTATAATGAAATTATGGATTCTGGAACGTACCAGTATGCATTTTATTACAAGGATTGGCTCACAGAGGGTGTTGAAGCTCCTTCCATTCCCTCCATCCACATCCCTTCCATATCTGTTCGAGGAATTCAGAAGGAATATCTACAGAGCCACTCTGTTCAGGAAGTTCACCAGGAGCGTTGGTTTGGCCACTCTCTGGATGTAGGAAGTCCTACTGGTCCCTTTTCACCTCAGCCTATGGTCAGTAAAAGATTATATGAAGCTGTTTTTGGCCATTCAAACAAACCAGGAGCTAATGAAGTTGTGGAACATTATAAAGGGTCAGAAAACTTTGACACTACTAGTATAAGCTCTGATGGTTCTGCTATTGAAGACAAACAAGCATTGACATGCTCTTCTGGAAAGGTTAAGCATATGGATCAAGATATTGAACGAGATAATGCATTCCATCCTGTGAGTTGTTTTCTCTAAATTTTAATTCTTTGCGCCTTTTGCTGCATTGTTATCACTGTTAATTGCCATTCTAGCAATTATCTGTGTCATTTTATGACAGTAGTCCCTATAGTTTACCCTCTCTGTCATTTTCGTCCTTATAGTTTTAATTGACTCGATTTTGATCATAGATTTTGAAGTTTGGTTGTTTTGGGAGTAGGTTAAAAGCTAACTTTTTTCTTTATTTTTTATTTTTGAAAAAGCGTGAAAGAAAATAGAGAAATGAATTGATTTATGTCATTTTAGTCCAATTTAAATCGGAAATTAAGAAATTGAACGGAAAATTTGCATTAAATAACATGTGATTGATTTCCCAGGGCAAAATAGATATTCTAGTCTCTCTCCTTCCTCATTTACAAACAGAGCCACTGAGCCACCACTCCACCTCCTTCCACCACCCAACCAATACCAAACCAATCCCAACATCCACCATTGTAGATCCACAGATCATCATAATGAAAAATAAAAATATTAAACACAAAATCCAATTTCCAACCCCTACATAAAAATCACTACACAAAATTAACATACAAAGTTTAGATCTATCCACATTCCCAAATTTTGAAACCTTGGATGTACAAATCTCCATGATAAAACAAAGGAAAAGGGACATGAACAGAGAGGGAGAAGATGAGAGAGAACCCATAAATGAACTATTCCCTCTAATCACAAATAATCTTTTTGATAAAAAAAAATTCTTCATCAAGTCTTGTCTTTAGCAGATGAAATAATCAATATCCCATGATCGTTACAAGAACCTCAAATGAGAGACACAAAGAGAGTGGTTGAGCAGTCATTGGTCCCTCTCTCTCTCTCTCTCTCTGTGCACGTGTGTTTTGATAGTTAAGTGAGTTCATCTCGAGTTATCGAGTTAACTCAAAGGGTTTGATAGAATATGAATGAGTTGACAATTTTACCCTTTAAAACAATGGGTGTGTCTTTCACGTGCAAAATTTCCGTTCAATTTTTTAACTTCCGTTTTCAATTGGATCAAAATGATACAAGGTTAAAAATTTTAGATCAAAATCAAGTCAATTAAAATTGCATGGACCAAAATGACACATAAAGCAAACTATAAGAACTATTAGTGTAATTTACCGTTTATATTATGTGATGGATCATGCTCTTAAGGAATTTCTATGATCTCTGTAGGAAGATGGAGTAATAGCTGAGGCGTGGAGATTGCATAGTGATAGTGCTCTAGGTGAAGGTGATGCAAATGACAACTTTGGTAACTCTTCACCATATCCAGAAAATCCAGAAATCACCCAAATATTACATGGACATCCACACACAAAAGAAAATGAGCTCACACTCAAAAGACTAGCCAAGGCTGTTTTTGATCTGCAACACACTGAGGGACCTCTTGACCTCACGGATTCCACTTTTTTGTCACAGACGGAGAATGTTGATTCTTTTGCAAATGTACAGAGTTGTTGACTATTCAATTTTTATGTGATTTACTATTATTGGTTTCTTCTAATCTTGTTTTACTTTTTGAAATGCAGTCAATCAAAACAATGTCCTCCGATGAAGGTATATGAGAGGGGCACTACCCTTTACTTTTTCTTTCCAGTTTTTATTTTTATTTATAACAGTGCACCTTAGTGTCTGCATGCTTTCCTCCCTGTAGAGTTAAATGGTAATTTTGAAAACATTGATGAAGAATCCTCTTGCTCAAGCATACCCCGGGATTTTATATGCCCTCTCACTGGACTTTTATTTGAAGACCCTGTGACCTTGGAGACTGGCCAGACCTTCGAGCGAGCAGCTATCACAGAATGGTTTAACCAGGGATATAGAACATGCCCAGTGACAGAGAAAACACTGGAAATTCAATCTGTGCCACATACCAACTTCATTTTGAAGCGAGTTATTGATAGTTGGAAATCAGTACGTTGCAGGCATCTGTTGGCCTTTGCCTCTCAACAAGAAGGAGAACACAGACCTAAACTTGAGGCTGAAAGAGCTGCCTTCATATTACAGCACCTTCTAACTTCTTTTAGTAAAGAGGAAAGAATAACAAATGCCAAGCTGCTTATGTCTCTAGGAGGCCTGCAGTTTCTAGTTCGAAGGTTTGATTCTGGAAACTTGACGGAGAAGACAACCGTGGCTGCATTATTTTCCTCTTGTATAGAAGCAGACAATGGCTGCAGAAATTACATAGCTAGGAACATTAAGAAACCATGTCTTCTTGAGCTAATCCACAGCAACCAGGTTAAATCAAGAGAAAATGCAGTGTTGCTGCTGACAGAACTAATATGCCTGGACAGGTATTATTTTGCTTTTTCTTTGTTGTGCATCAATTATCAGTAGCATGCCGTAGAGCCATCCTTTGCCTATGTACTACATCATTCCGCACGAGTGAGATACGCTTATTTCAGTAATTTCCATATTATGCATGTTTTGCAGTGTTATTGCTATGGATTGATTGTTCTAACCATAAATTGGTGCTACTGTTTCTCATTTCAGGAGGAAAGACGTTAATTTTTTTTTAAGTGGCTTTCAGAATGAGGGAATGCTGGATACAATGCATGTTTTACTCGTTTATCTCCAGAGCTCTCTGCCTGAGCAAAGACCCTTGGTTGCTGTTCTCCTTTTACACTTAGATCTTCTGGTATGCTCCTCAAGTGAAAATTCTTTTGCTGATAGTGAACAGAAGTGTTAATTAAACTATGATTCTGGTGTCTCTGTTTGCCTCTGTGAGAATATACTCGTCTATATTAGGCATGATTGTGTATATAATATTAGGCATGATTGTGTATATATTAGGTAGTATGGTTGTATTTCCTTGTTTGGTTTAGGCGTTAGGGTTACATAAACTAAGGTCTTGATGTAATTAGTACACAATTTGAATATACAATACTCTTCAGAAACTTATATGGTATCGGAGCCGGATTCGAAACCCTAGTCCTCATCTGAGTTCAAATCAACCATTTCATTTTGGTTCAGTCTTTGGTTCGTGGTCATCAGACGACCTCAATCTGAAATCGCAGCCGTGGTCGCGACCCGACTGTGCTCTCTCTCTGGAGTCGCCTTCTCTGGTTCTGGGGTCGCCTTCTCTTTCCCGACTGTGCTCTCTCTCTGGTTCTGCAGTCAACACCTCTGGTCTTCTCCGATTGGGCTCTCTCTGCTCGTAGGATTTCTGGTTGGTTTGGGTTAGTACACTTAAAACTTTAGTTTAGGTTTGTTACTATTTGACCCCAGCACAGCACCTTGAGTATTATAATTTTGACTAATTTTGACCCATTAATTCTATAAACCTTGTTTTATTATAATGTCGAACACTGAAAACCAAGCCATCAAGGGCAAACTCACTGGTGACAATTATGCTTATTAGGCCAATGTTATGAAAAACTTTCTTCTTGGCCAGAAAAAATGGGATTCTGTTTTTGGTTTTGTTCCTCGTCCATTGGATCCAAAGGTGGAAGGATATCTGACTTCCTGTGATACTTGGGATTGTGATAATGCCCAAGTTCTGACCTGGTTTCATAATTTTGTAGATGACTGTATTGGAACGATGTTTTTTAAATACAGTACTGCCAAGGAGGTGTGAGATTATTTACTGGGTGTTTATCAGCAGTCTAACTTTGCCAAGCGGTATGAGTTGGAAACAACTATTCATAGTGCTCGTCAGCGGGGTCATACTATTCAGGATTTCTATATTGAGATGACAGGTCTATAGGATCAATTAGCTCTCATGGAACCACCTAGTCTCAAGATACTAGACACTTATGTTGAGTTTCGGGAGCAGAGTCGTTTAGTGTAGTTCTTAACGGCTCTTTCCCATCAGTATGAGGCTATCTGTAGTGACATCCTTCATTGGTCTCCTTTTCCTTCTATGGATGCTATTGTTCGTGACCTCCTCTCCGAGGAAACCCATCTTAAGACGGCCGGTCAGATTCTACCCCCCTTTGTCTTCTTGGCTCCTGCTAAGCCTTCTTTGTTATCAACCCTTTCTCCTCATCAGCTTCATGCCGCTGCAAAGCTCAAAAAGGGGCCATTAGGTCCAGATGAGTGTGCTTTCTGCCACCAAAGGAGTCATTGGAAGTACAACTGTCCCAAGAAGGGACTTCAGCCTGCTCAATCCCAGCCACCTCAGACATAGCTCCGCAATCCTGCTCCAAGTACCTTTCGGCCTTCTACTGCTTATACTGCATCTGCTCTGACTTCAGATCCTGACTTGGCTTCCTTGAGTGCTCAGCTTGCTCAACTTCAGCATATCTTGTCCACCTCTTAGCCATTCCCATCTACCTTCGCTCTTACTCTTTTCATTCAGGTTTCTTGGGTCTTCTTTAGGTATCCTTGTTTCTGTCTGGCTTTTTGATTCTGGTGCCACTCATTATATGACTCCTTACCTGTCCTTACTTCAAAACTGTATTCCCCCACCCGCTCCTATTACTATTAATGCTACTCATGGGTCTGGTATGTCGGTTCTATCTATTGGGTCTGTGTTACCCTCTACTATGTTTGCTGTTACTATTCCCTCTGTTCTTTATGCCCCTTAGCTATTTGTAAGTTTATTATCTATCAGTCAATTTGATGCTTTTGGCTTTGATGTGATCTTTTCTTTTTCTGTCTGTTGTGTGCAAAATCGGATGTCCAAGAAGCAGATTGGGACCGGTCGTAGAGTTGGAGACCTATGTGGTAGAAAGTTTGCATCTCCCTTTACCCACCTCTCCAGTTACACTTTCCTCATTTCAATTAGATTCTCAATTGAATCAGTTTTATTTATGGCATTCTCGCCTAGGTCATTTGTCTGTAGACCGCTTACAGTCTTTAGCTCAGTCCGGAGTGTTGGGTAAAGTTTCTCCTAGTCAAATTGATGAATGTCGGGGGTGTAAACTTGCCAAAATGTCAACTTTACCATTTAATAAAAGTACTTCTATTTCTGTTTCTCCATTTCTTGTGCATGCTAATGTCTGGGGACCCTCTTCTATTCTCACTAAAAGGGGTTCCGCCTACTATGTATCTTTGTTGATGATTGTACTCGCTATACTTGGGTTGATCTTATGACTCATAAATTTGACTTCTACCAAATATACTGTACATTTCAGTCTATGATCACTACACAGTTTAGGGCTACCATTCAATTGTTACGGTCTGACTTAGTTGAAGAGTATTTTAAAATTGAGTTCTGTGAGTATCTGGCCACTTTGTGTACCATTCATCAAACTTCCTGTACTGATACACCCACCCAAAATGGTCGTGATGAGCGTAAACATCGTTATCTCTTCGAGATAGTTAGGCCTCTCATTCTTTCTGCCTCTGTTCCAGCTCCCTTTTGGGGGGAAATAGTTCTTATAGCTGCTTTTATTCTTAACCGTATGCCTACCCCCGTACTCTCTGGTCGTTCTCCTTATGAGGCTCTGTTTTTCCAACTTTCCAATTACTCTCTCCTTCGTGTTTTTGGGTCTGCATGCTTCGTCCTTCTTCCTTGGGAAGATAGGACAAAACTTAGTGCCCGTTCTGTCCTGTATGTCTTTTTGGGTTACAGTCTTACTCAAAAGGGCTATCGTTGTTACGACCCTATTTCCCGCCAACTTTATGTCTCCTATCATGTTGCCTTCTTGGAACATCTGTCTTACTTTCAGCTTCCCTCTCTCATTGCTCCAGTTTCAAAAGCGGATTTGGTTCTCATTGACCCATTTCTTTCTGAGGTCCCGTCTGATGAGTATATCTCCACTGTTCATTCTAAACTTGTTCAGTCTTCCCCTTTGGCTACTTCTCCTCCTTTGTTATTATTCTATTCTCGTCGCAAGGCTCCCCCTCCACCAGTTGTCTACCCAGGTTGCTGCCTCTTCTATTTCTGAAGACTCCGATCTTGCTACACACCGATATCCTACTCGAGAGCGTCATCCTCCAAACAGGTTGGGTTGGTCTAATACATATTTTTCTGCATCTTATCGTACTTTTTTGTTTGCTATTCATTCTTTTTCAGAACCTCAGTCTTACAATGAGGCCTGTCAGGATCCTTTTTGGATTTAAGCTATGGAGAATGAGTTGTCTGCTTTGCAGAAAACTAGTACTTGAGAGTTAGTTCCTTTACTTGCTGGTAAGAATCTGGTTGGTTGCAAATGGGTTTACAAAGTCAAAACTTACTCTGATGGTTCTCTTGAGTGCTATAAAGCTCACTTGGTTGCCAAAGGTTTCTTACAGGAGTATGGCATTGATTATGAGGAAACCTTTGCCCCTGTTGCCAAGATGACTACTGCTCGTACTTTGATCTCTATTGCTGTTGTTCGTCATTGGCCTCTTTATCAGATGGATGTTAAGAATGCTTTTCTTGATATCCATCTCACTGAGGAGGTTTACATGCATCCTCCCCTTGGTCTTCCTCATTCATTCCTCTGGTCTTGTTTGTCGTTTTCGGCGTGCTCTGTATAGTTTGAAGCAATCTCCTCGTACTTGGTATGATAGTTTTCAGACCGCTGTTACTGAGCTTGGGTTTTATTCATGTGACCAAGACTCTGCTTTGTTTCTCCCCCACACCTTTGCTGGTTTTGTTTCCTTATTACTGTATGTGGGTGATATGATCATTACTGGCTTTGAAGCTTCTGCTATGTCTGAGGTCAAGCAACATCTCTTACGCACTTTTGAAATGAAAGATCTGGGACCATTGCGGTATTTTCTTGGTGTTGAGGTTGCTTCTTCTCCCAAAAGCTACTTTCTGTTTCAGGCCAAGTATGCCAATGAGGTTATTCATCGTGCTAGTCTTGCTGACACTAAGACTTCTGATACCCTCATTGAACTTAATGTGAAGCTTAACACTACCAATCCCACTCGATAATCCGACTTTGTATCGTGAGCTCGTGGGCTGCTTAGTCTATCTGACCGTTACTCACCCTGATCTTGCCTATGTTGTTTATGTGGTTAGCCAGCTCGTTTTTGCTCTTTGCTCTCCGTATTGGGCTGCTTTGGTTCGGATTCTTCACTATCTTCACGATACTATCTTCCAACGCTTGTTGTTGTCTTCTACTTCTTCCTTGGATTTGGTGACTTATGCTAATGCTGATTGGGTTAGTGATGTTACTGATTGTAAGTCCACTTCTGGTTTCTGTTTGTTTCTTGGTGATTTCTTGATTTCTTGGAAAAACAAGAAACAAATTGTTGTTACCCGTTCTACTGCCGAAGCTGAGTACGGTGCTATAGCTCATGCTACTGCTGAGGTTGTCTCCTCGCTGACTTGGGCATTCCTTAGTCCTTTCTGACCTCTCTCTACTGTGACAATCGAAGTGCTATTCAGATTGCCCATAACACTGTTTTCCATGAACGAACAAAGCACATTGAGATTGATTGTCACTTCGTCCGTCAGCACCTACAGTCTAGCTCTATCTCACTTCCTTTTGTCCCTTCGGCTCGACAACTTGCTGACTTCTTCACCAAAACTCACACCACTTCTCGTTTTTGGTTTCTTCTTGACAAACTCTCTGTGTTTTCGGCTAAAACACCTTGAGTTTGAGTGGGGGTGTGAGAATATACTCGTCTATATTAGGCATGATTGTGTATATAATATTAGGCATGATTGTGTATATATTAGGTAGTATGGTTGTATTTCCTTTCATGGTTGTATTTCCTTGTTTGGTTTAGGCGTTAGGGGTATATAAACTAAGGTCTTGATGTAATCAATACACAATTTGAATATACAATACTCTTCAGAAACTTACAGCCTCCTCTATATGATTTGCCTTGGACTGATTGCTGGAATATCTTGCCATTTGAAAGCATTGACTTGCTGAATACCAATTGAATTCATGCTTTGTTGTATGTTCAACTTGAGTTGTATTTCTATCTCTTTTGAATGTTGATAGATCGGAGTTTTGGATTGTAGGCTTTTAACTTCACAATTGAATTTATTTTTTTATTTTTGTAAGTATCCAGTATTTACAAATATCCTAAATATAGTTTCCATAAACCTCACTACTAATCCTATATAAGTTGCCAACCAAGGGGAGTAGCCATAGTTTGGAAAGAACTGTCACGCCATATCATATTATAGGAACATTATTACCACCTAGGAAGTGTTGTTCCCATGGAAGGGTATTTTGAAGACTATAAATCCTTCCAAGGTTTCTGTTCTTGGATTGGTGGCAGTTGATGGGATGATTCTTACCATCTATAATCTTATTAAGAAGAGAAAAATCATCACACATCTATACTGTATATATTATATGCAAAGCTGGAAGATGCAAGGGGTATTTTGGAAGATTAAAGCTCCTTCCGAGGTTGCTTTTATTGGATTGATGGCAGCTTATGCGGAAATTCTTACCATCTACAATGTCATTAACAGAAGGAAATCATCACACATCAGGGCTGTATGCGCAAGGGGGGTGGAGCGTCGATGAGTAAGCAAGTTCTGGTTTTGGTGTTTTTTTTCATGTTTCCTAAATTGGTTAGAATTTTTTTCCCCATTTTTGGAACAGGTTTAAGATGAGCGAGGAAAGAAAGCTTGGTGGCTGTAGACTAACCAATAACAATTGGAATGGTTTGTGATCGCTCAACTTAAAACCAACCTACACTAATTAGCTGTTGAGAACCTCAACCAAAAGAAAAAGAAAAGGCTAGAAAGATTTAATGCAGCATGAGTTTGGTGAAAATTTCCACCTTTGGCCGTGTGCCAAGAAATGAAAATGCAGATATGAGTTAATTAAAATTCCCGATAATATGTGATAGTAGAAAAGGGTTTCGATGGTGTGAGTTTATTTATTTTATCATTTTTGGACAATGATAAGTTGACATTACAATATTGTACTTCGGAATGTTTATCCATGATCATAATATGATGTAACCTAACCCCACCAAAAAGGTAATTGCACAAGACTTAAATATTTGAAGAAATATGTATTATTTCATTTTAAAATTATTTTCTATTTCTACTTTTATTTTTTCAAGATATAATGTAGCAGGGTTGGGTGACATTGTTGGCATGCTTAAAACTATATTTGAGTCATGAATTTAGTGATGGGCATCACTAAGAAATCTGTCATTTATGTCTCTTTACTTGTATATCTTGTGGACTTCATGCAGTTGTCAAATGGAACAAGTGATTGTACTTGTCTTGTTCAATATGTTGAAGATATGGGACAACATTTAAAAACTAACATATTAGATTTTTGGTACTCATTTTTATGGAAAATTATAAGTTTTTGTTTGTTGCAAATCCTTATAATCAAATACAAGTTTGCTGAGACAACCTTGTATTGCAGGTTGAACCTCGGAAATACAGCATATATAGGGAGGAGGCGGTTGATGCCATTACTGTGGCTTTGGATGGCAGCTTATACAATGAGAAGATCAGAGCAAAGTGTTGTAGAGCGCTCCTAATCTTGGGAGGTCGTTTCTCTTCCTCTGGGAAGATAATGATAGAGGATTGGATCTTAAAGCAAACTGGATTTCTTGTTGGTTCTGATCCGAATTCTCTTGAAAATGAAGAAGATGGTGTATTAGTTGATGAAATTATTCCATCAGTATGTTTTATTCTTCATCTCTCTCTCTCTCTCTCTCCAAACACACTTACAGAGACTTGAGCTTCTAAATGTTACTGACAGGTGTCCTGGTTTCTGTTGTACATTCATAGTATGTCTGCAACTACTCCATTAGCATTTTTAATCACACTTTTTTGCCATTATATACAATGGAAAGTATTCTGATTACAAAATATGGAGTTTGCATTTGAATTTGATTTCTTTTGGCAACTACTTTCCTGCATTCATCTTGAGTGCTTAGTGTGGGCAGTTGGAAGGATGCTTGTTGCAAATATATGGAACCAAAAAACCAGAATTGTTGTGTTGTGTGTAGTTACGACATAATAGCAGTAGTTGACCTCCTGATTTGACCCCTTTTTTTCCTGCAAAAATCCAGTAAGTGCTTCTTTACCACCTAGCCAAATCTGTCACCTTTTTCAAGTTATTGATATATTTTGAATGGAACATGAAAAGTTACCAAGAGAGAAATGTGATACAAAAAGGGCTGCAACAGATGAGATTGCACATTACAAACAGTTCAAATAAGTAGTTCATCTATTCTGATGTGATGCACTCTTCTGTTAGCTTGCTGATGCCCTTGAATTATCAAAGAAAATATAATTTGCAGAAGATTTCAGTATTGAAGTTTGAGTTTTACAAAGTGCTTTCTAACTTTGTAACTCAATGCAAGGCTTGAGAATTTGGACTCCATTTGACTCCTCTTTACTTTCAGTCTCATCTTAGTGAATAGGTTGCAAAATTAGATTTCATGTGAAACAAAGTCCTCATTGCAATGCAATTTTCACACGTGCAATATCAATAGGTTTTTTTTTTTTTGTGTGTGTGTATGTTTTCTGTTTCTGTATGGTGAAACCATGGAAGTATTTTTCTGAAGATTTGACAACTGGATATAGGATGATGAAGAGGAGGAAAGGGAAGACTGGTTGAGGATTTTGTCAGCATCACTTATTGGTGACGGGAAGAAATCATTTTTGGAGAGTATTTCCAAGTGTTTAGGTTCTGGAAGCTTGGATTTGGTGAGGGTGTGTCTAACCACAGTGGCATGGTTAAGCTCTGCACTTGCTTCATTATCTGATGCAGAGTTCCAGCTTCCTGCCTTCTCAGCTCTCATCTCTCAGCTGAAAGAAAGACTGGAAAATGGTGACCTGGTTGAGCACAAGATTCTTGCTTCTATGTGTCTGCTTAATTTCAGCAAAATTCCAGGTTCGCAACTTTTTTTGACAAACATTTTTGTTAATTGCATCAAAATGGAAATAAAATTCCGTCTATGTAATTGTGTAATATTTGGGCTATTATTCATGTTGCATAATAAAGTATATTCTTAGGATATCTGCTGAGATAAATGGCTATTCATATTTTAATTCCTTTATTTATATAGTAATAGTCTATCAGCCATTTTGCGGGGTTTTGAAGGATCAATCTTTGCTGGCATCCTTCTACATATATAAAGTTCGTTTTAGCTTCAGCTGGTTCTCCCTATACTTTAAGTGGGGCTCTTGGAACATTTGGATATTAATACCAGTGTCTGATGCTCTGTTTGTTTTGGCAGAAAACATTTTCCAACGAAAAACATTTTCTACAAAAAAAATAAAAATAAAAAAATAAAAAATTTCCCTGTAATGTGCTAGTGTTTGTATTAGTGTTGAGGTGGGAGGTAGACGTGGTGGTAGTGGGGGTGGAGGTGGCGGTGATGGTAGTGGCGGTAGAGGAGTGGTGGTGGTAGAGGAGTGAAGGTGGGGGTGGCAGTGGCGGTGGCAGTGGCAGTGGCAGTAGAGTGGTGGTGGGGTGTTGGAGGTAATGGTGGCGGTGGTACTGGGAAGCATTTTTCACCCTTCAAAAACGGAAAACATTTTCTGTCTAAATAAACTTGCTTTAAAATTGACCACAAAAAACGTTTTTCATAGCACCAAATACCAGAAAATGCGGACCGGAACAAACTGCGCATAAACCATGTTGTGGGTTCTCAAACGCTATAGCATTTCACATTACAAGTTAAGTTTTAATATGCTTCAAAAATTCAGCTAGCTCTACAAAATTTGACATCTAGTTTACAACAATGTAGATCTTATAAGTGGGTCAGAATACTTGTCAGGGATGACAATCTTCTTGAAATATATAATTTAGTTGTGCAAAACTTGCATGAAAAATACTAACATTAAAAGTTTGAATTTAATTGCTTAAGCTATTTTATTTTCTGTCGATTTCAGAATGCAGGGTCCTGTTGATGACAATTGCAGAGGAACTTGCGGTTCCTCTGAGAAGCCTTGCAGAAGTAACCTGGACAGCAAAAGAGCTTTATGCTACCATTTCCGGAGGAGATTCATAATTTGAAATTGAAAGCATATTGGAAACTGTTGACCTCCTTGAGGATTCTTAACAATACCTCTGCCGTCCATTTCAGTGAAATTTGGTGTCGTTTATTTTTTCCTTCTGGAACTGTATTGTCAAATATCCAGAAGACTTGCTAAATTTGTGGTGTAAAGGTGATCAATAATGTCGGCATTACAAAGCTTGGATCGGGAATATCGTTCGAATGTAAGGAGATCTGAAAAGTATCCTAGGGAGTTCATCTCTTTCCATTTTCTGTGCAATCATCTGGCTTGGAGTTTTTGGGACATTGATGGCTTAGATAAAAAGGCTTATGGTTGTTAGTGACTCAAGAGATAGTTGTGTATACCTTTCCAATTTTTACTATTGAAATTTGTTTCATGTAGTGTCACTTTATTTTGTGTTCTTGAGTTGTGGTGTAGTGATGTGTACGACACAGTTTGTCACTTGGGCTATGGTTAGTGATTTTTTTTGGAAGCACGATCCATTTACTTTTTGATGGTATCAATGGAAATTTAACTGCATTGCTTTTTTACCCATACATATTTTGAAGAATTGATTTGAGTTAGTTTATTTACATGAACCGACCTTGAGATTTCAATAGCTGTAAGAAATGCTTCCTAGGATATAGTAGTTTTGGATGCCATGAAGAAGCCTCTTTGGTATTGAAAATTCTTGTTCTGTGATATACTAAAAAAATCATATTTGTTCCTTCAGACTTTCAGTGGAGCTGCTATTAGCAAATTATATTTCTAAGGTGCAAATAAGGCAAATTTTGATGGTTCATATTGTAATTTTTTTTTTTTTTTCCAATCGATAGAAGAATATTACAATTTACAAATATTAAGACAATGAAGCATGTAAATCTATATTTAGTCAACAAAAGACAAAGGTAGGGTCACTGTTTCTTGTGAAATTTGCTTCTGCTTCTCAAATAATTCTACATATCTTTAAAAAGCTGTAACAGACTGACTACTTTAGAAATGCTTTTCAGCTTTGGATAGGCCAAGATCACAATCAACCCCATGAAATTTAGATTCAGTACAAGCCCAACTAAAACTATGATATCCAAAAATTGTCAGAATTTTGTGCCTTTGAAGAACTTGAATAGAGGCATTTTCAATATTGTTTCAAGCTAGAATTAAAGATCAAATCAGAAAAAGGATAACACCAAATCTGTCTCATGGACAGCTCTAAAAGTTTTAATGTAAGAATGCGCTACATGTGTTTAGTGTTCAGAAAAATCTTTTCTAGGTTAACCATATGCTGGGTTTTACTTTAATGGTCTTTTTTTTGGTAATGTTGGTAAGCCTGCATCGCATGTATAAAATACTAGCACCTTTGAACTTTGCTTATTTGTCGTCTCATATCTTGCTAATATCTATGTTTTGATTTAAATCTAGTTGATTTTGGAATAATGTTGACATTTACCTAGGAAATTATTGAGGAAGCACCAATAGATCTGTTGCTGTTATTAACAAAATATGGTGACAGTCTTAAACGTATCAAGCACAAATGTACTTAGAGATATCTCATTGAATGCATAAGAGAGTAAAGCGTAAAGCATAATGATGTTAAATAGAAGTCAGAGAACTATAATCCAATCACCGTTATCCCTCTGTTGTTTTCATTGGCGCATTTTGCTTTAGCCTGAATCGTTGAATCTAGCTATTCATAATGGTATTTTAGATCTGACCTTTACTACATACATCAAAAAGCTATAAATTTGTCGGCATGTCGTGTCTGTTATTTCTGTTATGATAATAACAGTCCCAACTGAGTATAACGATATTTGAAGCTGTAAATTGAGGGGCATGCATCATACAAAAAGTACAAAAACATTTTGTAGTTTCAAGATATTAATGCGCAAGATTAATGATTATCTCCTTTTCCTGCTATTTTTTTGTTAGTTCGTTATTTATGATATGTAACGGTTTTAACGGTCATTGAGTTAAACACTAGCCTTACCTGCATACAACACCATGATATTTAGATGATTTATTCAATCTCACAAGCTAAGAACACAAGCAGAGAGATAAAAAAAAAGAAAAGAAAAGAAAAGAAAAGAAAAGGAAGTACATTTTAATAACACATGATAAAACAGGCACAGATTTTAACCTTCTCCCAATAAAAACATAAAAATAAAAAAAAAAGGAAAAAGAAAAAGACACAGCTTTTTAAGGTACTTCCCACATCCTAAAACAAACAGACCTAGTTAGGTTCTTCCTCAATCACCACACTGTGTTTCACAGCCATTGGAACATCAGTTGATTCTTTCTTCACAGCCATTGGAACATCAGTTGATTCTTTCTTCACAGCCATTGGAACATTAGTTGGTTCTTTCATCATAGCCATTGGAACATCAGTTGGTACTTTCTTCACGGCAGCCTCAGTTTTGACAACCATCTTTGGCTTCCTGCCTCTTTGTCCTTTAAAAGAAACTCCATGGTTGTGGCCTATGCCTGTCATCTTAAGGGACTGACCGGGAACAGAAGCCACTCCTTGAAGGCTGTCCTTGTATTTAGATGTCCGTTTTTTCAACCTTTCAGCTGCTTTTTCAGATTGGTAATGAGCCATCACATGAGCTGCATAACATTGGGTTGTGATAAACACTTCACCACATTTGACACATCTGTAAAAGGTTGGAGGTTTCAACTGACTGGTTTCATTAGGGAGGATCACTTGGACATTTGATTCAGGAAAGGGCACATGAAATGGTGAAGCAGCAACACCACCATGTGTTAGAACTCCCATTGGAGTTTGATGATGCACTTGATTGATGACAAAAGCAGGGTTGACGTTTTTAAAAATGGATATGGATTGGTTTTGGTTTGGGAAAGCAAAGGGATGGTTTGAAATAGAAACATGCTCTCTGGTTGAGATTGTCGTAATGACATGATCTCTAACAACCTCGGTGACTTGGAAATCACCATGAAAAAGCATCGGTGGGGCTTGCATCAGATGAATGCCAGTCACCCTGCTACTGGTGCTAACCCTGTTTGATGGACATATGGTTTTTTGATGAGTCACTGTCTGGTTCAGACCAAGTTGGCCTGAAATGGGCATTGGATGATGGTTCTGTTGGTAGCTCAAAGGTTGAATGGTGGGCTTATTATCAGCAACCATTTGATTTCTAATCAACCCATTGTTGGAACCACCAAAATCAGTATCTTCCATCAAAATGTGTCTGATATCGGCATCGCTGAGGTATTCATCAGAATGTAGCAACTTCTGCATTGCCATGGCTAAAAGAAATTCAAATGGGTTGAAGGAGAAAGAAAGAAACCTGGGTAATGCAAGAGGATGATGAATTGTGTTGAGTTGTGGTGTTGCAAACAGATTTATATAGAGGTTTTGAGTGGTCCATTAAGCCTTGTAATTGCTGTGCTAAAGCAAACTATTGAGTCTCTTCAAAAGGGGCAATTAATGCTTGATAAGAGTGAATCTCTCCAGCAATGCACAAAAAGTAAGAAACAGATGTGATATGGTCATCCATATTAAATGCTCTTAGTTTTGTATTATATTACACGAATTAATGACTTCATCTCTATGAGCAATGAATTAAATGTCTCGAGAGCACTATTCTGCTCAAGTTTATCATCACCGGATTCTTTGTTTCAAAATTTTTATCTCCATCTTCCGATTCACTTTTACGAAAATCTCGAGACACGGTTGCGCAATTGGTATGCATTGGGACAAAAGGACAGAGAAATTGTGGGACAAAGAATTGAACTTCAACCCCATACTAACCCAATAATAATTTTGTGCCATTGAAAAAGATGTGGCTACTTACGGAAGATGTGGTTTGGCAGGATGGGTGTATTCTGTGAAAGAGGAGCAATGACTTTCACACCAAAGCAAGAGTAGATTATGAAAATTTTCGTTTTCTTTACTTCTTTCTTATCCATGTAATCTTCTCCTATTTATTAGTCATTTGACATGTTGGTAACTTATTATAATATTGTCAGAGATTCTATTACAGTAATCTGAGGTGTTAGTTAATATGCTCTTCATATCTATATATCTAAGAAGAGTGATTCTACATACACCACTACATTACCTCTTTACACCCTCTATCTTATTACACCACTAAAAAAAAAAAATGTGATTCTCATTACACCTATTATATTACCAAAACTAATCCTAAAGTAAAACTCTTCAAAACCCTTTCATCTCTTTACACCAATAGTTTTTGGAGGGAAAATAAGGGAATAGAGAAAGACGCAACAAGGGGAAAGAGAAAAACGCAAGGAAGACAGTGAGTGGAGCCCATAGCGAAGTGCTTGTTCGGTCACATAGTGCTAAACAATTTACATTCCTCCGGTCAAAAATAGATTTCTCCAGCATTTTGTTGCTATACATTTACAGAGTCATTTTCTTTCAAACAATGATTTTTAAATTTGTGTTGGGCCTATTCGGTAATACAATGTTAATAAATTTGAATTAATCCAGTGCCATGTTACTAGACAAACTTTTTTTTTCCCAAGAATATGTTGCCGTTCGATTTGATGATAACAAGAAATTAATTCGGGGCCACTTGTGAAGTGCATGTTTGGTGATACGTTACTATACAAATTAAATTACTCTAGTGTCATATTGCCAAACTATAATAGATTTGTCTAGTTAGGTGTCGTTGTACGTTGAAAGATTTACTTTTTCCTTCAAGCATCTATAAAAAACATCCATAAATCAAACACGCATCCATAACATCATACATAAAAAGTATCCATAAAAATATTTATAAAAACATTAAGTGTACGAACATCCATAAAAGCATCTATAAAAACTGTCATTGTTTGCATCCATCAATCAAACATGGTATCACAATTTGTCTATATCGATAGTTTTGGTAATTACTACATTAGGCCTGACAAGTGCACGGAATTGATGTATGATTTCTCCCATCCATTAGCATGCGGGTGATGAAAATGAATCCAATTATTTGCTATCGGACGTACTGGATGACCAGGTTGTAGATAAACCTATAACAAAGACATCAATAAGTAGAATTACAAAATAAGACATGGTAATGATCTAAGTAGGCTCGGTAATTTATACCTGCACGAAATGGTTTCCATTTACAAATCCTATGCAGATAGCTCTTCGATCAGGTGTTGCAATCGGTGTTGATCCAAGTGGTAGAAACGTCAAACACTGTTACATGGATAAATGATAAAGAACGACTCAGTAGTATGATGCTATCAAATGGCCCATGTCGGGAATAGTCATCCAATGATTAGATTCTGGGCCAAATTCGAAGTAGGATAAGATAGAGGTAAGGTCATCAACCCTTTCTTGTGAACCAAATAGTTGCATGTAGTGCACTACATTCGAATGCAGCTCAAGTGCAAGTCTTTGTTTTCTGCCATTATCTCCCGCATCTGATGTCTTTATAACAATGACAAATTCAGTCTTCTTCCCAATGTCAGAAGCCTATTTAATTAACGCTTGTCGACTACTAAAAATCTAAAGATAATAAATACATTTATACATCAAATTATTAATAAAACTCAATACAAATTAAAAATAAGAA